TACGGTAGAAGCTGCTGTTGCCTCTTCGCCGTAGGACATCGCCGACGTGGGGATCGAGGGATCGAAGAAAATCACTAGTTTGTCGATCGCAATTAAACCCCTCCGCTCGAAGAAGACCCTCGTCAATGCGCGCCACGATTTCGCCGAAAGGAACGCAAACGTAAAACTTCATAGCACATGATACCGACGATACTTTGTGCTGGTGGGCGGAAGTCGCTACAATCTCGATAAGCCGAGATTCCAATGCTACAGACATTACATCTATCCCATTTTCAACAAGCCAATTGATAATTTATTAAATATTTGTAAAACATTAAAATAAGAAATATATAATTAATGTGAAGAATATTTTAACAGAACGTAAAGCAATAATCGCAAGAAATCGCAAGAATGCATATGAAATTATTATTACTCTATTTAAATACATTTTTTTCTTAATAATCAAATATGTAAATTTTTTATATAATATAGTCGCAAAGAGAATAGAAAAATTGATCAAAAATTGATGCAAAAATTGATCATTTTTTAAATTCAGGACGGTTCAATCCCTTAAAATACGGATCAAGGTATCTGAAAATCGTGCCTCCTCGTAATTATAATTCTCGCATGCATGTTCAATCCTGTGGAAAGAAATGCTGACGCAACCCTCGATACTTCCTATCGATTAAGCATCGAGAAAGAGTCATGCAATATGTATGGAGTGATCCTTCGTCTGGATCCGAGACGCTGCGACGATCGGAGTAATGAACCGTAGAAATGCGGGCTCGTTTTTGCGTACTCCGCGATGAGTCGCGCGCCAAGAGGGATCCGTTCTTTTTGCCGGCCGCGAGCAACTGCCGGACCTGTCGTCGCTTGTTTACAAATTGATTGCATCCGCACAGCCAGACGTAATCAGCCACGTTTTGTTGAAATCGACCGTCATTTATCGCATCGAAAGGATCGCCGTTCATTTTCGCCTCGAAAATGTTGACATCGATATCGTTTAAATCGCCGATGACAAGATCGATCATCCGTGACAATGACAGATAACAGATTATGTCACGTGGAGTGTAGGGGAGTGTAGTATAGATTTAATTGCACGATTTAGGACTTGCGCGAAGTACGCCAACAACGGCGAGATAAAACTCGTATGTCCGATCGGCCCGTTCGTTAAGGATTTACGGCCATCGGCCTTCGTAAATTCACGTTTCTCGCTCTTCGACAACGCGCTATCCGAGAGATCGAAACCGCGAACCGATGTCCTCTCGTGAGACTCGCAATGTGATCGCCATATGGAACGATCCTGCTGTACTTTCACAAGCGTTCCTGGATTACGGAATTTCGTGTGGGCGGCGACACTTTTCCGTTGCCAGACCGCGAAATACACGCGACCGAGTATTATACAAGCTCCTTCCTCGACACCTCGATTCTGCACTTTGGCTAAAAACTTGTCCCTGCAGTCGGCCACTTTCCAAACGTACGCCCCTTTACATTCATAAAGCTGCATGCAAATATATTCACATACGAAACCCGAGATGTTTTGAGACATTAGGGCGTCCAGACCTAACGAAATTCGTTGCCAGACATTCCAGTGAAGTAGCAGGTACATGTACAACAAGGAATACATTAATAATACGCAACTCATGCACACGTGCAATCTGCGAGTTAGCATAAAATCAAGAAGTCAGCAAGTATTAAACTTAGAAGTTAAAGGTTCTACCATTTTTTTCAATAAGAACTTTTCCACAACCGCACTTTCTCCGCTAACGATAAATTATGTGTAATTAAATCCATTAAAAGTAACTTAAAAGAAATCATCAAAATTTATTCATTTCACAGACTAATATGACTTATTATAATTAGATTTCAAAAAATTATTAAAAAATAAATTGTATAATATAAATAGGTCAGGTCAATCCTAATCCTCCTTGATCATTTGTCTCTTTCTAATTTTATATTTATTTCTATCGATGCAGATTTAATCTCGGTTTAAATTTATTCTTTATTTTTTTCTAATTTTTCAAATTAAAAAGAGAGGAAAGGCAAGATAAATCGAGATTAAAGTTAATCTAAAGTTAACCATTGGAGTAGAAATAGGCATTAGTTGTACGAGGGATAAATAATTAGTCTGACTAATTAATAATCTAATAATTAGTCTAGGCTAATTAATTAATATCGACAAAATGTAATTGAAATAAAATCGTACTCCGATTAATAAATCAATGTATGTTTTTGCTGAACGACATTTCATTACCTTCAGTTGGAACTCTCAATGCAACGTGCAAACTCACAGTTGTAGCGTGTTTACGAGAGCCGCAGCCGGGAATCATTCCGCGAGACTCATTCCGTTCGCTCATTTTCTCGTCGATATTCATTCGCGGACCCCTGCGGCGGCCAGACCACGTACCACGAGACACAAGCCGCTTTCTCCGAGATTCCCCTATCGCATCTTTATTGGCCGATCAAGTCCAAGTGGCCGCACCAGGTGACATTAAACACGTCGCGTCCGATCGCGCCTCGGTTCTCCAAGCGGAGCCCCATAGTTTCCGTGACAGTCGATAATGAACGTCATACTTATTGTACCATTAAAGGCCGAGTCCAAAGTTTAAATCACGGCCGTTCGTTGCTGCGCGTTCACTTTTGGTAAAAGGGAAAGGTATAAGCATGTAAGAATTTATTTTAAATAATTTATTATTATTAAATTAAGTTGTTATATGATTATCCATTCATCTTACTTGTTATTTATTAAATATTTATAATTTTTAAAATTTTTGTATTTTACTTTACCTACATCTTATAAATCAATTTTAAATATAAATCTTCCATTATTAGTGATAATTTTCATTTGTTTATACATTAGTTTTAGCTACATTATATTTTCATATGTAATTTTGTTCGATTTAAATTAATATATAATTTCTCTTTACATTCTCTTAACGCGCTCCGATATTTTTTTGATCTATATAAAACATGTCGTAAATTCACCTCTATTCTATCGTACCTGTTGATCTTATCGCGACAGCAGAGCTTCATGACAAGCCGCTAACAGCAGGCGTACTCTAATGACTGTCTCCTCTCTTGTGAACGTAAAATTATACTATCTCGATAATGACCGATCAATAAGGAAGCAGTCAAGGACTGTTCAGAGATTGCTACGAAAATTATGCGACGACTATCTCCCCCAGTAAGGCAACGCGAGTCGTAACGTGAGAGATAGAAATTGCTGCAGCATTGGTTTCGTGCCGCGTGACGAAAATCGCGTGAAATTGATTCGATCGTGGTTGATTATGCGATTAGATTCAAGACCAACGATCAATTTCCACGTTTTATTCTTTCCGTTTTTTCCCACATAAGCCGAGCCTTTATTACTTTAATGAGCACGCGGTTATCGAATTGTTTATCTTCTTTCAGAGAAATCTTACTAGAGTTCAAAATGAAAATTATAATAACAAATATTGGTTTCGCACAAAAATTAATTTCGTACTTTCCTGAGATACTACAGAAGATTACATTATATGTTTGATAAATTAACGATTTCTTTATGCTTGTACATAATACGAATTGACTTATATATTAAAGGAACTTAATTAAGAGTAATTAAGAAGCGTATTAGATCTGGTAATAATTTTCATTTCCATTCCAAGTTACGATAACCCGTGCTATATAAATAGCAAACGAGCGTATATCAGATATCACAATAATTTTAAAATCCTAAATAGATGGAATGTGAGAAGCGTATCTAGTAGCCGCATAACTTTCATTGTAACTCACACCGTTAACTTAATCGCGTCACACGGAATAAAAATGTGCGAAATATGAAGGCGTACAGTGCAGTGAGTCTATTGTTTATACATTCTCTCAAAGCTAATTTAAACAAATGGCAATCTTCTCCCGTCTATTTCTACTGGTCAATCAACCGCAGGTGTTACTAAGTACAACATTGAACCTCAACAAGCTTTCTCACAATCACTCGAGGCGCATATACTGACATTAAGTAGAATTCAATGGCTTTCTTGATTGATATCTGATTGATCTGGACGAATATGCTCATATCATTATTATTATAAAGAATTTAAATTGCAGCAGTAAAATATATAATTATTCCAAAAATTTTTATTTAATCATGTAGTTTTCAAAGGTCTACACAGTAATGTAATAGTAAATCACTTAGAAGCAATAAAAAAATAATAATTTTTCATAAATTTCTTAAGAGACAATATTTTAAAATCTAAAACAAAATATAAAAAATAATTTTTGTTTAGGTAATAATTTTGTCAGTTAGAATTTTCGAGTCTCATAAAAAATTATAATGGCAAACCTATATCTATCATGATCGGGGCGTTGCCGAAAAGGATTATCGAATCGCGATAAATCTTTTGCCTCCTACATATCCTGATTTCGATCGCGCGGTGCGCCTGCGGCTACCGGTCCTAGAGACGGTTCCTCACCTTCTCGAGCGGAGAGGAGGGTCAAAGGACGAAAGGCACCTAGCCAGCGTGGGATCCCGGGTGAGATAAACACAGCCTCCGAGGGACCGAGTTGCGAGAGAGAAAGAAAAGAGGAGAAGCGAGGAGAAGCGAGCGGCTCGCTGCTCGGTAGGTCCTCGTGGCCGGTTTTCTAATGCCAGTCTTCCGAGAAGCCTGTGGAACGCTTCGCGATCATTCGAATATATGAATGTCTTATGAGGAAAGGACACACACGGAACGTCCAAGAAAGCGAGAGATCCCGAACGAGAATAGAAGTGGAAAATCGCCGCTGCCGCCCCGCCACCGCCGCCGCGACCGTCTCTTGCCTCTACGATGGCACATCACGTAAAGGTTGTAGCACGCGGAGGATCAGGCACACCCAATGTAATCTCACTTCTTGCAAGAAAGTTCCTGCTTACTTCTTCCCGCAAAAAGCGTTCCCGCGGCCGAGGTAATCGACGGACGGTGGAGTAGCTCCGATCTCTCTCCCTGTCGATTCCGAGATTCGCCTTCTCTCTTGCCGTCGTAATCACGCGCGGGTTCGCGTCTCGCGGAAATTATGTGGTCGCACGCGAGCACACGCGTTCGAGAATCGAAAAAGAGATCGCGAAAAGAAACTCCTCCGCCCGCACGCTCACGAATTGTCCGCGTGGTGCATACTTTCCATTGTCTAGTACCCTAATTAGAGATTGAACGGCGCGCCACGAGAGAGAACGACCAAACCCACGAGAGCCTCTAACGATTTACGAAAATATTCGCGGTCGATTGTATCCGGTGTCCTGTCCTCATGTATTTTCTCATGATTCTCACGAACCCGTCTCGAGAGTTTCTATCTTTCTCTTTCTTCGCAAGCGGGAGAGAGAGCTCATGATACTTTGAAATCGGTCAGGGAAACTGGTGCAGCGGAATCATGGAACGGTGACATTGCATAGACGACGACAATCAGTAACGACAACGACGACAAGCGACGAGGAAGTGAATGGCAAAGGGAAACGAGAAGGACGATGCAAGTACGCTATCGGCGTGACGATCCCATGATAGTTCTATGGTCTCGTGGCTTTCGCGTATAAATACATACATATGTACATAGATACATACATATATATATATATACATAAATACATACATATATACATAGATATAAATAAATATAAATGGTCTAAGGAGTGTTTATAGCGAGGAAAGAAGACAGGATCAACAGAGTGAGATCGGCAAGATCGGAAATCGTGCGATCGTATGACGAAGTCTGTGCTGGTCATGGTCTAAGACTCCTGCGAGATCAAAGACATTGAGTTACATCCACACTAGCGATGATAAATTGTTTTATCGAATCTTAAATTTTTTATCGCATAAACATAGTATTATTTATATACTTATGTAATAGAGCTTTTAAAAATTTGTTCACAGTGTTATTATTTTCTACTCCGTAAAAGATATATGTAATAAATAAATTTTAATAATTTCAATCGCCGTTTCCGCGAATTTTGCTACACGTAAACTTGATACAAGCATTTTTCGATTACACTGGTAAATTTTCATCATCTAATCTTAAGATTCTAATAGAT